TTCTTTTTGTCTTTTTTACTGACCGGTAACGGGATCACAACCCTTGGTGTCAAAAGGAGTTCTACATCTTTTTTTTTTTTTCTTTTTGTCTTTTTTACTGACCGGTAACGGGATCACAACCCTTGGTGTCAAAAGGAGTTCTACATCTTTTTTTTTTTTTCTTTTTGTCTTTTTTACTGACCGGTAACGGGATCACAACCCTTGGTGTCACGCCCCTACCGGGGACCAGCAACGGGATCGCAACCCTCAGTGTCGCGCCCTGACCGCGCTCAGCCAGTGAGCTGAGCGGGAACCGGTCTCCACATGGGATCTGAACCCTCGGCGGGAGCGCCACTGCACTCCCAAGCGCGCACTCTCCAGTGCGCCACGGGCCGGCCCTAAACTGTACAAGTTTTAAAGATACTACGGATATAAGCAACCAGTCTAAGATTAAACAATTTGTCATGGTCTAATCTTGGCATAATCAGGCTAGAACCCAGAGCTCCTGAAATCCATTTTAGTGCTATTCTCACCCATGAAGCTGATGTTAAAGGAAAAACATTTCAATTCTGGACAGCCGATCTCAAAATGAACTCTCAATTCTTTCTGGAAAGACCCAAATATTTCTTGTAAAAGCTACACATGTGGAAAATACCAGACCCATAAAAGAATTTCATTCCTCCGGGCAAAGATTTCAGTTGGAGCCCAAGAAATTTTAATATGAATCACATTAAGAATGATCACCCACCTACGAAAAGTATCACTCAGATACTTCAGATTTTATCCTGAAAAAAAAAATCTATCAGTGGAAGCATCTTTAAAAAATAAAATAAAAGGACAATTTTGCCAACATACTTAAAGATAAAGGCCATTATCTTTTCCAATACATAAAACAGCAGAAGCCTATTAATCTACTTCTGATATCCCAACAGCACCACCAACACAGTCACGGGTTAACCTGGTTATCTTGACCTGGTCGTGATAAACAAGGTCTCCACCTGAAGTGATTTATTTGGTTCCAGGTTCTGTCCAAACACTTGAAACCGTATCTAGAATTCTCTAACTTATTATCTACTTAAAACCATCTTCTTTAAGAAAGGTTTTGAAACGCTTCCTCTAAATTGCTCAGATCCAATGAAAACTAAAATCTTAAGTAACAAGAGCCATATTCAATAAAGGGGATGAGAGAGAGAGAGAATAATTATAGTAGAATATCTAAGCCGAGGAAAGAAACTATTAAAATACCCATGTGTTTCCTGACAATGGAGGCAAAAAAGAAACAGTATTCTCATCAAAAAGTTGTATGCAAGTTTGTCCAAAGATTTCTTAACATAAAATCTAAAACAGAAGTTTTACGTGATTCTTTATTTAAGAGCATGAAATCCTATCACAGTGCCTTAAAAGGAATTTTATCAAATGTCTAAGGGCCCGCACCAATGACTACTTGTTCTATTAGCAGTCAATAAGAGTTCAGAGTTCTAATTTCCCTTTTTTCTACATTTTAATAAACTTGTTATTGATACAAAATCAAATTGTTTTGTTTTTAACTGCAGGGTTTCCTTTAGCTTTAATATTCAGGAAACTCTACAAAAAGGGAACACATAACAAGTAAATAGCACTTTCCTAAATTTGTTTGGACATAAAGCCCTTTCGTTCTATTGCATCTCACGTGACCGTGCTGTATAGAACACACTTCGGGAACCCCCCACAGAAGGTCTTAGCTCATCCCTTTCTGCTCTGTTATCTGGTATACCACTGACAGAAATCAGATGCTCAACCTAACAACAGGCTGCAGGAGCCTCCAAAAATGCATATTCCCTTTGTTTAGTTGGCTCAGCTGGTAAAGCAGTCACAGACGTCTTAGAAAAACTCTGGTACAGAAGATCCCTGTCCCTCTAGTACAGAAATGTCACACAGTATTCCTGCAAGTGACCTCTTGACAAAAGCAGTCAAGGTCTCCTGAAGAAAACACGAAGGTTCTCATAGAACGACTCAGAGATGGAAGGTGGAAGCAGAGAGGGACAGGAGGACGGGACTCGGAGGAAGTTAGTTTTGTGTCACTTGTCCACCCCATCCTGGGGACCCTGCACGGTCCAAGGCCCAGTACTTACATGGCCATGTTGATCCAGTTCGTTGTTGGTGAGTTTCACCTTTTCAAAAGACACCATCTGTTTCAGCAGTTGCTCGCCAGTGAAAGGAGAGTCTGGGTGCACATAGAGCCTGAGAAATTATGAGAGAATTTTGAGACATTTTTAAAAAATCCTCATCTGTAGGTTACAAAATGTTCTGATTCTTTTTTTTTTTTTTTTTTTTTTTTTTTTTTTTTTTTTTTTTTTTTCTTTTTCCGTGTCTGGCAACGGATCGCAACCCTCAGTGTTGCCCCCGTACCGGACCGGGGACCGGCAATGGGATTGCAACCCTCGGCGTTGCTCCCGCGCCTCGCTCAGCCAGTGAGCGGGAACCGGTCCGTATGTGGGATCCGAACCCTCGGACGGGAGCGCCACTGCGCTCCCAAGCGGTGCACTATCCAGTGCGCCACCGGGCCAGCCCCGTGATTCTAAAGGGAACATAAACCTCATATAAGTGGCAAATCTTATTTGCCCCGTATACCCTAAGTTTATTAAGACAGCAATGCCAAAATAACTCTAAAACATGTAATGCAT